GCGCGATATACAATTTATTCATCGATTTGTTTGTTAAAGGCACGACGAAGTCAACGGCACCGACGGAGCACGAAGACTTCTCCATCGACGTGCTCGTCGAGGACTTTGTGTGCGTCCTGCAGGCGGTCTCTGCCGACCCCGCTGCGGCGCCGTCTCTCCTGGTACGTTGTTTGATCATCCTTTCATTACACTCAATAACTGACCCACTCTGTAGCTCGTCGGCCACAGCATGGGCGGTGGCGTCGTCGTGCGCGCATGCCCCCGGCTTCTTGAGCTCAAGTACCGCGTGTCCGGCCTTGCGGTCCTGGACGTCGTCGAGGGTGGCACGCCTCCTTATTCCTTCAAGTTATGGTCTAACGCACCCCCGCAGGCTCCGCAATCGAAACCCTCCCACACATGCTCAACCTCCTCATCGCACACCCCGACGGGTTCGACTCCCCCGAGGCCGCGATCGAATGGCAGTGAGTCGCGTCCTTCCTTCCTTCCTCGCAGTACCCATGACTGACATGATTGATCTCGTTCCAGCGTAAAGACCAAGACGATCCGCAGCGCCACCTCCGCGCGCATCTCCGTCCCCTCGATCGTCGTCCCCGCGCCGCCCGGCACCCTGCCGAGCGCGCCCGCGTACCAGTGGCGCACGCCGCTGCGATCAACAGCGCCGTATTGGGCTAGTACGTTTCTTGTGTGTTTTCTTCTTTTTGCTTTCCTTCATCATCATCATTTTCCTCTAGTACCTTTGCTCCTACTCGCCCTCGCCCTTGTGTTCGTGCTCCACTCCTCCTTCTGCTTCCCTCCCCTCCATCTTACCTCCTCCCCCTCCCCCCCCCCCCTCCTCGTACTCTCCCCCCTTCTCCCACTCCTCTTCCCGCCTCCGCCCTTCTTTATATCCTATTCCGCCCCTCCATCGCGCCCCCGCGCCTCCCAAACCCCGCGCCTACCAAACGCCCCTCTAACAAATCCCCTTAGGCTGGTTCACCGGCCTCTCCGCCGCCTTCCTTGCTGCGCGCACCGCGCGCCTCCTCCTGCTCGCGGGCATGGACCGCCTTGACCGCCCGCTCATGATCGCGCAGATGCAGGGCCAGTTCCAGATGGTGGTCGTTGGCGGCGTGGGGCATATGCTGCATGAGGTGCGTCGCGTGGTTTTGTAGTCGTGCCTCGTGTGGTGTTTTCAATCCCAGTCTTTCGTGTATTTCTCACCGCCTCCCCACCCCTCCCCCCTCGTACGTTTACACACTTCGACGTGGAGCGACTCCCGCCGACCTCCCCATTCCATCCTCCCCGTCCCTTCCCCCCTTCTCCTCTATCTTCCCCGCTGGTACCTTTCCACTCCCCCTGTGCATCTATATCCCCCCTTCTATATTTCCACCATCTCCTCCCTGTACATCTCCTCCTCTTCCATCCCCCCTCCTCCCTCTCCAAACCGACCCCGCTAACACCCACCCCTCCAGGACGACCCCACCCACGGTCGAGTCACAGCGACCGTTTCTGCGGCGACCTGAAATTTCTTCAATTGCAACTCTTCTCTTCGGTAGGTGTATCCATGGATCTCGGGCTGCAAGACATCCACGTTCTGGTCACTGGTTTGCATGCGGTCATCCTTGATTTACTCATGCTCACCGCCTGGCAGGTACCAGTGGTGGAATTGGGCTCGAAGTTGTCCGTGTGTTTCTCAGTGAGCTGCTTTATCGCTCGCATATATTCGCCTCGACTTACCGTGACCGACCTGGGAAAGAACAAGGCGCCAAAGTAACTGCGCACTACAACTCGAATGCGTCCTCGTTGGACGCCTTGGTCACGGAACATGGCCCGCAAAGGATCCAAAAGGCGCAAGGTGATCTGGCGGTCGAGGAGGATGTCGCGCGTTTATTCTCGGGTTCGACTTTGCTCGGCGCCGTTCAAGTTGCGGTCATCAACCACGGCGTCTGGCCGACCGCGGATGAGCCTGTGGCCGAAATGTCCCTTGAGCGTTGGAGGAGCTCCATGGATACACACCTCACGTCGTCCTTCCTGGTTTCGCGAGAGAATCTGCGGCAGCTCGAGTCTGCGTCCGACGACTTTAAATCGAAGGCTTCCATATTGTTCGTTGGCTCGACTGCTGGGAAGTACGGCGAGGCGGGGCATGCCGACTATGCTGCAAGCAAGAGCGGGGAGTGCTGGCTGACTTGATTCACTTTACCCTGTGGTTCTAATCTTCGCCCATTCAGCTCTCATGTATGGATTTACTCTGACACTGAAGAACGAGATCGTCAACATCGCGCCCAAGGGAAGGTATGTTCCCTTTCTACGCGATGATGCCCATGAACCAAATATATATATACTATTCCGCTAGAGTGAACTGTGTTGGTCCCGGCTGGACTAAAACGCCGAAGAAAGAAGACACCACCCTGAACAATCCATCCATCCTCTACCGGCTGTTAGCGACGTGTGTCCATCCGATTCCTTCACCGCGCTGAAAGAAATGAATGCGTGATTATAGAACACCCCTCAAGAAGGTGGCGACGCCCCAAGACATTGCGAATCAGATCCTTTGCTTGTCTTCTCCGACGCTGTCTGGGCATGTAACCGGCCAGGTCGTGATGGCGGAGGGGGGGCATGGAAGGTGAGATATTTTGTCAGATTATATTCAGGTTACCGAGTATTTTAAGGCCGTTTACTCAACACCGACCTGCTGCGTATTGCGGTGACATGGTCATCTGGCCAAATTTATTGTGCTACAATATTTACAGTCCAACAATTATTTGAAGTATGATATGACCACTGATTCATGAGTTGCATATGTCAACGCTCCACTATACGCTGCCACATCCATATAATCTCCAGCATCAGCAGTCTCAACCATTAGAAGTTCAGCTTGTGGTTGCGGAGGTATGATCCGCAAATTCAAACCAGTCGAAAAGAGGCTGTGACCAGAGTAGGTTATGGCGAAGCACCACCCGAACTGTTGAAGTTTCGTGTCGCGGCAACTCTGTTGGCGGAATTCTAGTGTTCCATCCTCTTTGACAACCAGGCGATAGCTAAGTAATATTGCATGCTTGGAATCTGATGTGTAGTAGAGCCATATTCGATAGGCGCTGCGGTGGACAGGGCTCTCGTGAGCAGTGAGGACCCTGTCGTTCAAGTTTTGGTACCGAACGGGAGCGATGGGCTCGGAGATGAGTATAGGAATATCCTGCACGTTGACGGGCGTTTCTGTGTCAGCGCCATCGGGTCCGGCCCAGTACTGCTCAAGGGAGTCAATGGCGCTGACGCAGATGGCTTCTCGACCCAACGGGATCGACATCGAGAATATTATGTGACCAGGAATAATGTCGATGAGAAGAGACCCATTGGACGACTTGAGGCGAACATCAGTTCCTCGCTCACGATCATTACAGAGAAAGGTGAAAGGACATACGCCGAGTCGGAAGGAGGTCTTCCTGCTCCAATTCGTCAGAATTCAGTCGTTACGTGTAATCTTCCTGGAGAGGTGATGATACCGAAAGGTTAGTTTGATATCGAATGAAAATAAAAGGAATCAAAGAACCTGCTGTGGTCTTGCAATGGCACCCCCACAACAACGATATCACCACAGATTTTAAGATCGTGAAACGGGCTGTCGCTCCATGTGTGAGGACCCGGAGTAACATGGAGTGAGTGAGATACACCAGATCGTAGGTCTAAATGTAGAACCTCGAGGAAGCTAAGTCTCATTAGTTTCGTTACTTATGGCAGTGGGTCGACACACTTTTGGCCCATTTCATTTGGCACATAGGTGCGTAAGCCGACGACAATATTGGCGCCTTCGCCATCCGGGTCCACCTCGGCGGCGAACACGTAAGGGGACGCATATGGGACAGCAGAGGTATATGTCCACAGGCATGTCCCCTCTTTAACTTGCCAGCACTGAAGACTTCTCCAATTTCTAAAGAGGACATATTTCCCTCCACGCAGCAGTTTTGCTTCATTTTCCAAGGCGACAATTCCGGGGCCGTTAGGGATGGCGGGATGTAACACAAATTGCTTTGATATTTCGGGCTTGGCTGCAGTGGGTGGCGGAAAGCGCTGAGGAGCAGGAGCTCTTTTCATCCAGCGCCACACAAGTTTCCGAACTCGTGAACGCAACGTGATATGAGGCGTAGATGCATCGACTCGGTCTTCCTGCGGCGACCAAGTAATTGGCCCATTCTGAATCGTTTTTGCAAGTTTGATCAAGTCCGACGCCGAAAGATCGTGCAGCTCTGAGATAGAGGTGTGGTCCAAGAGGCCACGGTTCTGAAGATCAACGAGCAGGGAGAACCAGACAGTCCTTTGAAGGGTGAGACGGTGGTGGTATCTATTCGTCTGAAGCTGAAGTCAGTCATAAGGCCAGGCTTCAAGAGGCCCCGGGAAGCTCTACCAAAGGGTTGTCCGAAAAATTGGGTTTTTGAGGTCGAAATTTGACCAAATCCTTGTCCGAAAATTGGGTTTTTGAGGCCAAAATCTGCGAACCCTTGTCCGGAAATTGGGTTTTTGAGGACCAGTTGGCCACTTTTTCCTCAGTCCATCGGTCCAAGCATCGGTCTTTGACACAACATGCCGCTTTACGTTGGAATATGCTCACGAGACCGGGCCCTGTAGCGAAGGAAGCTAGGAAGGTCACATTGAAGGTAAAGAAGCCGTACATGGGCCGCCAGCGCTTGTATGTACGCTGTGGTCGGATTCCGTGACATTTTTGGCAGAGTCACACAGATGACATGTCACGACCCTTGTCCGAAATTGGGTTTTTGAGCCCCTGGAAATTGGGTTTTTGAGGCTGAAATCCCGAAAAATTTCGGACAACCCTTTGGTAGAGCTTCCCGGGGCCTGCTTCAAGATATCTGACTGGCCTGGCCGAGAGACAGTGCAGCCAAGATTTCGCAATGGCCCAAGATACGCAGAACAATGTCCTCCACCAGGTTATCGAAGGGCATTGTGGTAGGCGCCGGGCACAAAATTCCGAGCTGGTAAGAAAAAAAAAAGAAATCTGGGAAGAACAAAAAAGATTCCGGTACGGGGAATCGAACCCCGCGCTACCGCGTAGAAAGCTTATATAAGCTACATGGCTTTGAAAAGCGGTAATGTTAGCCGATACACCATACCGGAGGTAACAGTGGATCCAGAGGTTGATATATGAGAGGTAGAAGGCCATTATGTATTTTTAGTACCAACTCTGGTTCTGCGAACAGTCGTGGTTTTTTGAGGTTTTTTTCTACTTTTTTTCTACAAAAGCGGTAATGTTAGCTGATACACCATACCGGACGTTGTGGGCAACAAATCTGAGGGAATATGACCTTATCTGTTCTACATCACGACAGTAAAAACAAATCCTAACTGTAAGATGATTAACGAGTGGAATGAATGAACGTTCCTGTGGACTTAGCGCAATCTTCCTCAGAGAGAGAGTACTTTCGAAATAATCATTAGGGATTGGGTATACGAGCAAATTAGGGATAAATACAATATTGTCAGTTGGTGCACATCTACCCATAACCGAAAATGGCCCCAATCATCTCCTTCCACCCTCTCCTGATCACAAAGCTGGCGCCCCCGCCATATTCGTTGGCAAACCACTCCAGGTATCTCGCATCCATCCCGCTCAAAGGACCGAGCTCAAAGATGGCCATGTCCTTCGATGTGAGGGCGATGACCTTGCCCGTCGCGTTGCCCTTGGGGAGGAATGACTCGAGCATCGAGAGCTGAAAGGCGGTGTGGGCGTGCAGGGTCTGCAGGAGCGACAGGGTCGTTAAAATATGCCCATCCCTTCGCGCCGTGTCGTACGTCTCTTCATCGTCCTCGCCATCCGGCACGGGTGACGCGACGCCTTTGCCCTTCGCCGCAGGCCCGTTCACGGTCGCCTTGCTGCTGGCCCACGACATCCCGCTCGAGCGCCTGGCCGTCTTGCTCGTCGTGCTCATACTAAGCGCACTCCCGCTAGCGCCGACCTTGGGCCCACCCTCGATGCCCATTCCGACGCTGCGGACGTGGCCACTCGCCTCGCCACCCAGTCCGCGCAAGGTCAGATCCTCGTCGCCCTCGAGCCGCACGGCGCCCCAATTCGAGGCGCCGCCGGCGGTCGAGTACGACGCCGCCGAGTTGCCCCGCCATGAGCCCATCCATAGCCCAGCGCAGATGACACATACATCCTCGTACACACGCCACGCGTCCGTCCAGGCCGTGATGGGGTTAGCCTTTGGGTTTTGCGAGAGCGAGGGTAGGGAGCAGCACGAGGGATCGTGACTGGCGGATGAGTCGAGTTGCAGAATGCGGCTGAGCTCGTTCCACTGTAGCCACTCATGAGGATAGGATAGGGCAGTGCGGGTAATCCATGCTTACCAACTTCAAGTCACTCCACGAGAAGCGGACCACGGACAGCCGATGCGTAGGGCCGCGCGGCCTTGACGGTCCAGGGCTGGGAGGCTGAACGGGTCGCGAGGCGTAAAAAGTTGGGCGGGTAGCCTTGTTCGGTGTCGAAGTGGTCAGATCGATGAGCAAGTCGTAGCACGACGGCTTCTCCAAAAAGATAGCATCGGTCGTGCCTAGAAAAAAGTCAGCGAGGAAGAGTCAAAGCATATCGGAATAGACCTACAAGCCACCCAGCCACGACCGGATTTGCCCTCGGTGACCAGGCGATCCATGTCATTCAAGGTCACCATCCCGAGCACGCTGATGCCCTCCTTGCACTTGCCTCGCAGGCGGGAGGATGGGGATTCAGGCGACGTGGTGTATTCCACCTGGTGCTCATAGCACATGTCTGCCGCCACCTGGCAGAGGATCGATGCCGCCTCGACAGGCGGTAGAGTGTATATCAGGATTCGTTTCCTGCTCAAGACGTGCTTATACAACGTTAGCGAGGAAGGGCCGAGAATCCGCAGCAGGTGGGGTAGGTGCAGCGTCGGATTCTGCTCCGTAGGTTCTTCTTCGAGCTGGTGGAGAGGTATCAGTGCACTGGATAAGTTCAAGTACGTGGCAGGACTCACCCGCTCGAGAAGCTCGTGACTCCATCCATTCCAGTCTCCTGCCCCTCCGAGATCCGCCCTGGAGACCTTGCGCTCGTTAAAGAATGTACGGGCAGGGTCCCAGTCGCTTTCGGTGGGGATGAGCGATGCAGAGCTCTCGAATCGCGAATATATGATACTGGTAAGTTCTTTGAGAGCAGCCGTGTGTTTCCACGGGCGCGGGCGCGCAGATTTGGCCAGCAGGATACCAAGAGACGAGAGGTGAAAACCTCGGTGCCCCTTGTCGAGTGTCTTTCGGCGTCGGAAGACACAGACACCATGTTGGTTATCTTTGGTGAAGTATCTTCTCAAAGTTGTCAGTAGCTGAAAGAAGGCCAAAACAAGCTGTCCGAATCGCGCGTTGCTTTCCTGCCTCCAGAAGTAGATGTAAACCCATCGCCTCGAGGGTGTGGTCTACGCAAGTGCCCCGGGGAAGGCGGAGACAAGCCCTTGCTTGCCGGTACGCATTATGAGCAGGATGCGTCGCGTTCAGGCGGCATATCGCTGGGCACGGGCCTGATGCGCAGCATGAATTATCGTGGCAAGCAATGACCCTCCATAGACGTATCGGTGAATACACCCGATAATGCAGCTGATGTGCAACCCTCCAGCGACAAAGATAGACGAGAAACTCACACCACGTCTTGCTCAACCAAGTGTAGCCCGCTAGGCAGGGCGCTAAACTCGAGATTGTCGAGATTCAAATCTATGAATGCCAGATAAATCATAGAAACTTCAGCATGGGGCCTCCCCTCACCTTCGCTTGCCTTCAAAGCCCAGTCTATTATGTTTCCTTGTGTAGGATGAAACGTAGCGTGAAAGATGGCAACTGCGCGTAAGAGAGTCAGGAATTGGGCGATAAGATCTGCGCGAATATTAGGAACCTATATCCTGCGGATACCGTCCCTTGGAATCCAGGGAAGACATGGAAGCGCAGGAGGTGGAGAGGAGTAGGAGAAGAGAGTCACGCTGTCACTGAATGTGACCTACCTTCTTCGACCGCCTACAATGTCGCAACAAGTCAGTGTTAACGATCTAGACGTGTCGCAGCTCGCGGACGTCCGCAGGCAGCTTGAGGAGGTCGAGAAGAACAATTTAATCCTTCCTGGATGTCCTCTGATCGTTTCCCCCATCTCAGGAACTGAATCACCTCACAAACTCCTTCGCGCAGCTGAAGCAAGCGCAAGCAAAATTCAAGGCCTGCATAGAAAATGTCGCGGAAGTGAAACCAGCCAATAAAGGTACCAATGTGGTCTCGCAGCCTACATACAATTGACGGTCGGACCAGGCAAAACCATCCTTGTGCCATTAACAAACTCTCTATACGTGCCGGGGAAGCTATCTGACCCAGACCACGTTATCGTCGACGTCGGGACCGGTTATTTTGTACAAAAGGTAGAATCTTTGATTTTTCATGAATAGGGTATACTGAGTCTGTTACCAAAGACGCGCGAGCAGGCTCTGAAGCACTATACTGCCAAAGTCGAGTACATCCGGACGAATCTGGAGACTCTCGAGGAAACGATAAGCAAAAAACGGGAAAACATGAACTATTTAGTCACTGTAATGCAGTCGAAGCTGCAAGAGCAGCAACAGGCTGCACCTTGATTATCTTAACGTTGTGAACGCTGAATCGATCGCCGTCAGATCCTCTTCGCGTTGCCAAATCCACATCGACGAGGCCACAAAGTAACTCTGCGAATACATCTCCAAATCGATCATGCACTCTTTCCTTTGCGTTCCGTCAGGCTTTTGGGCTTCTTTCCGGCGCTCTTCCGCTTTGTGCCAACTTCAACATCGTCCTTTGAAAGCTTGGTCCGAGATCTGAGCACCCGGTCACTCACAGGAGCCTCTCGTGCGCTCGGAGGCTTCGCCTTCACCGCTGCCGTCTCCTTTTCTTTCCCTTTCCCCTTCTCTATCCTCGCCTTCTTCTCTTCTTCAGGCGCTTCTATTGCGACAGGGGACGATTTGCGTCGCTTCGTTCCCCGCGAGCTTCCCTCGCCCTTTCCCGTGTTAGCTGCCTCCTTCCTCTTGCCCAGAACGCTCGCTACCATGCTCGCGACCACTTCCGCCGGCTTAATAGCCTCAGTGACATGGTGAAAATGCGCCATCGAAAGACTGGCGTGAGGCGACGCTCCCTCAGAGATCGGTAGGTTGATTTGGTTCTCGAAAGAGGCGACGACGCGGAGCACGGTCGGCGACGATCTCTTCAACGAGCGCTTGGAGGAGGTAGCCACCGGAGGGGAATTGAGAATTTCCAATGCCCGGTTGTGATTAACGAGCCCCTCATCGCGGGCCTGAACACCTTAAATTAATACGCAAAGCATAAAGAGATATCGATCAACTCTCGTCGTCGCGCATGAGGTACTCCTCGTCAAGGGCAGTCAATAAATCCACGCCATCGCTCGTTGAAGGGGTGGCCTGCACAATGACCCAGACGAACGATCCATCCGCCAGTTTCAGCGCAAAGAGAAGATCCGGATTTCCCAATGCGGGGATACAAAACGTGGTGCGGTCGTTATGCTCAAGATACCTTTCAGCCGGCGCGGGCTCGTGGCGAGGGGACCTGTGGCCGGATCCACAGTGGATGTCACTGAGTATGGGACCTCTTCATCTGAAGGGTGAAGCTCGACGAGCTCTGCAGACTGTTTGGCCCACGACGACACAGGGTTAGTCGCATCAGTGAAGGTGAATACATCTGAGAGTTTGGGCTTCGCTTTGAAAGCATGGACGAAATAGAATGCGAGGCATTTGGCGAACATCTTGGGCGATGATGGAGGGTAGTGTCGGAGAGTGGCGCCATAAGGAACTGGATATAGGGTACTCTTGGGAGGAAGATTAAGCCACACGGCAGCCCCGGCGAGCACGATAGGCTCGTTTATAACAATCTGGGACATGTTCCCATCGACAAAACGTCCGTGGTCGAGGGAAACCGCTGTGATATGCTCTTTGTTGAAAACTGGCGGATGCTCGTTTGTGGTTAGATAATTATAGAGAACTTCCTGAACCACAATTCTCGTCGCAGCGTCTACGGAATGAAGCGAATTAGTGGCAGCGGATTACGGGGCGTAGGAAGGGCGCAACTCGAGTCTGAATCAAGTAGGGAGA